TNGGAACAAATGGAAAGTGCCAATTAGACAGATTAAAACAGGCACAAATGTCTGTCAAAAACCAAATTCAAAACTTAGAATGCATAATAGCTAGGTAATGATAAACTAAATGAAATTCATAAATTATACAGACAACTGTTAGACATTGTGCAGTCTGAGAGTGGTAGGGCTGAACGGTGCCCACAAAAGAGCTCAATGGCAGCAATTTCTCAGCTTATGACAAATTCTGGTATTCTAGTATTCTGCGACGCTCAGTTGGAGAGCATTGTTTGCCCATTAAATTAGTGTTAAGAGAGAACAGTTAGAAAGATACAAAGCAGCTCGCAGTCAGATCAACTGCAGGCTAGGACGTTCGACAAGGCAGACAGGCAGTTTGGCGGCCACCGTAATGAATCCACTGGTCACGGTAATAAGCTCGCTGACTGACTGGAGGTAGGTAGGCAGGCAAGGTAAAAGAGTTCCAGTGAATCAAATGAGACAATTTTAAGAGAAAAGAGAAACGGCAGTGAGAGGGGAAAGCGCAGTGAAGGGACACTGGGAACGGTGAAGTCCCCTGCCATTTCAGAGAGAGAGGATACGTGAGGATATCCTCAGTGGTCAATTGGGCCGCTCAGGCGGTGTTCAGTGAAGAGTGACCGGCAAAGGAATCTCAATGTGCTCCTGCACAGTTAGATCAGAGTGGTGCCTGCTGAGCTGGCGTCCACCACCACCACCACCACCACCACCACCACCACCACTCATCAAAGGACGAGTCAGCAAGGCAAATGATCGTCCCTTCGCGTCAGTGCACCCTTGCAGGTCTTATTATTATTCTAGCACAACTTTTGAAGCGAGCATTCTTCTTCTTCTTCTTCTTTTCCTCCTTCTTCTCCTTCTGTTCAGCAGTTCTTTGGTGAGACTCTGGTTGTCATAGTGCGCCACGGAGATACATACATTAGAATGAGCGCCGACGCATGGTGGACGGTAGACGGCGGAGAAGGCGAAAGATTGGTATAAAGGTAGGCACTACTGAAGGCAGAAGATAACTCAAGAACAGTGGCAGGAGAAGGCTACTGTCGGCTCGGTGGAGAGAAGAACGAGGGCTCCAGGTCGTCCCTCCAGCACCCACTGAACACACAGTTCATTTCGCCAGCCTCAACCTCAACCTGGCAATATCTAACTACAACACATAAGGGCCTTTAAATAAATTTGCACGTCTCACTCGCTCGGAAGGAGGGGGGGGAGAGGACTGATAGGTAATAGCTGCTGGTGGGCGACAAACTGGCAAATGGTGCAGTGCTGGCCACTGGATCGACGGTCACCGGTAACGGTTTCAGCCTCCCTTAATGGATTAGATGCCTGTTGTGAGCAGGCAGGCCAATTGATTAATAATACAAGCAGCGCTTCACCGGCCACTGAATGAGTGAGAGACCGCCACTTACGACGTGGTCGTGAGCCTACTGTGACAACACCGGTGCTTTTAATGATGATGAGTCGAAGCAGCGATCTGCAGCAACGGTGGTGGTGGTGGTGGTGGTGGTGATGATGATGATAAAAGTGAGCCCCGTGAAAAGTGAAAGTGCCAAGTGAAGCGGGACGAAGCTGTGACGAGCAGAGAGGACGGGACAGCAGAGGCTGAGGCAACACAAAGACGCTGCCGCTTACTTTCTGACTATGTGAGGGAATCTAGCAGTTATCTAATCGCGGTGAGGTACTGCTGCGCAGCGCATAAAGATAGCTGCTCCTGGTGGTGCTGTCCTGGCCATGGTCGGCGAGGCAAGTGGACTGGAAAAGGAACTGAACGCAAAGAACTGACCTGGCAATTAAAGCAAATAGGGGCGCTGTATTAATAAATAAATTATGGCCAATCCGAGTTGCTGTCGTAAGCTAAGTACCCACTGCCGCTGGCCAGCTCACAGCCGAAGAGCAAGTCATAAAGAAGGCAAAACAATAAATGGTCTTCTTGTGCATTTCAAATTAAGGTCCTCCACAATGGCTGAGTGGCTCGAGTGGCCAGTCGAAGGCTCGGGTGCTGGAATACTAATTGCGCTTGCGGCGCTAATGAATTATTCCCAGTCAGTAAAGAGGTAGGTTGACAGTGGAGGGCGAAAGCGTACTACTTGCGACATAGTCAGATGAAAAGTAGCAGAGCACTGGTGGTAGTGTCCTGTCGTAGGCGATGTCCGCTGGACACTTACAAGGGAAGCCAATGCCAGATTGGCACTTATCACGCGCAACGATAGCACAGCATAGACTTCCCACCAACAGGCACCACAACACGTCCGTTCATCTTGATTGGCCGATAATTACTGAACTGTTGACGAAGCGTGGCCAAGGAGGACACTACCGTTACCATTCAAGTAGAACTACTGAGGTACCCAGAGTAGACCTCTTTGCCTAGTTAGACTAGCTGGTCCGAATGATCACTTGGCAGCAGTGAGAACACACTAAGCATAACTCATTTGGGGGTAAAGAACAAAGGGACGGAATTGGGCAAGGGAAGAGCAGTCACTGGGCAGACAACGGAGAACTGGTACACGCCAGAGGACACTGAGTCCCCTTAAGACCAGTGACAGTGAGGCATCGTCGGGAATGGGCAATTAGCGAGGATGGCCACCAAGTGCCACAGCGAAAGGACCACTCGGACACACCTCGGTAGCTCGTCTTTGCAGGTCGTGCAGCTCAGATAGAGTCAGCTTAACGGTGGCAACCGTTTGAGGCTTTGTCAATTGCTCTCTGAATTGGTTGCTAAAACAAACTGGACACTCGGCAGTGGATATAACTTACTACAAATAGGAACTCCAGTTGCTGCTCCCCTCTAGCATAAATCCATCAGTGCTTTCAATAGCGGTTTTCGTTTTTATTGGCCGGAAAAGTGGCAACTAATTACATGACAATCCTGCAAAACTAGTGGTTCACAAAGTAACTAAGTGATCAAGGTAGATCAGTCAATTTAAAAATTATTTTAAAAATAAAAATCACAAAAACTTTACTAATAAATAACAAATCAAACAAAAACAAAATGAACATGCCAGTGTGGCTAAAAAGGCTTTTATAGATTGAAAAGTTCAATCAAAGAAGTAAAATGAAGCTTTATTAAGAAGAAAGTGCAGTTGCACCAATTAAGCAGTGGAGCAGAAGGCAATATCGAGTGGACTGCTAAGTGCATTGAGAGGACTGAATGCTCGCACAGTCGACAAGGCGAAATGTTTAGACTGCTTCTGTTTGTGGAGACAAAAAATTAATTAAAAAGATTTCGATTAGATGAGAGAAGGAGTGCACAGAGCACACAAAGACTACGCAATGACGAAGAGACAAGGGAGTGCAAAAAAGTGGTTGCCAGTGAAGTGACTGCCAGTGCCTCTGACGCGAGTGACAGTCGAGTGGAGAGTGAATAAGGCAAACATCCCATCTAAGGGCGCCCGGCAAAATATGTACAGCAGTGCAGTGCACTACCTCTCGGCACAGCCAAGTCAGGCTTCCTTCATTACCCCGCAGTTAATTATTAGCCATCGTTATTATTTTGTACCGTTCTTCGTTATTAATCGACATCACCATCACCACCACCACCACCACCAGCACTACCATCATCATCATCATCATCGACTGCTTCACTTGCTGTTGCCGTCATAAATATTTATTCGCAGAGCAAATATTCATCTTAACGGTGCCTTCTCCCCTGAAAGTGTGCACCAGTCGCCACCACTGAGGCCAGCTAAACTGCTGCTGCTGCTGCTGTTTACGCCGATTGATAGATAGACAGGAGTTGCCGTAGAAGGAAGGAGATAAAAACTAATAATTAGACGAATTGACAGAAACACACAGAGAAAAGTGGCTGAAAGAACCAGTAGGGCGATTAAGCATCGTATTGTAATGAGCTAAGTCGACAGTTCAAAATCTGCAGCTACTGCTGAGTAATTAAAAGTAAAAGCAAGTTTGTTTGTCTGCTAAATAGCTAAGTTTAACAAAAGGTAGATTGTTTTATCAAGTGATTAAGATTAGCTCAACACGCGTTCCATTAAGCGGTGATCAGCGCCGTGCAACATTGTGGCACGTGCTTATATCTCAAGCAATTTGCCAGTAACTGCTACAAACTGGAAACTAAATTGTTTTAGAAAAATGATTTTGTGCACAAACAACAACGTCCAATTAGATGGTTAAAGGCCAAGGCAAGGCACTTTCTGGTACAAATATAGCCATCTCACGAAACATTATTCCAGACAAGGCAGATAGTGACAAACACTGAGGCCGACTTCTCCCTGGTAAGGCCTGAGCAAAAAAAAACAAACTCAAATTAGAAAGCAGAAATGGCTCCTAATCACCCGACCTAATGCGTGCAGTAAGGCTTAATTATGGAAGGCACTTACTTTCGCTTTGTGTCTGCCATATATGGGGCCTAGAGTCGAGCCGAGGGTGGCTGGTGACAGGCAGCAGGGCAAAGCAGACCAGGACGCGTTATTGTTTCCGTCTGTTTGTGAGGAACAATCAAAGGCAAATTCAATTAGTGAATTTGCAAGCCAGTCAATCGGTGACGCCAAGTTTGCCTGGACTGCATGGGCGAGAGAGCGCGCTCTTAAAATGAAAAAAAAGTGACTTGGCGTCAAATACACTCGCCAACAAAAGAGAAAGAGGCAAAAAATGTAAATGGAGAAATTAATGGAAATATGCAATCTGATTGAAACTATGTTGTACAAATGTAGAGCTGAAAATAATTTATAAAATGAAAAACAGCATTTTTAGTGTTGTGCAGCATTCAACGGTGCGAAGAGCTTGTCCAGAAGCTGTTTTCAAATGTCAAGCGATGCTGACGTGTGGGAAAATCTAGTTGACCATAAAGCTCAAAAACTTTTAAATCATACACATTTAATATTGAAAGGTCTTATTTGTACATTTTTTCAATTGAAGCGCTTTCTACGACAATATGAGTGATAATAACAGCAGATTACCACTAGAAAACAAAAGATTCTTTAGCCAAAGTTGAAAAGTTGTTCATAAAAACAAAACTTACAGTAGTAAAACATCTACCGATAAAGATGATCCGCTTCGAGGTTAGCCGCAATTTCTATTTCCCACTTATCACCATTTTCAAGTAGTTTCTCCTTGTTGTACAGCAACTCTTCGTGAGTTTCGGTGGAATATTCAAAGTTAGGCCCTTCGACGATGGCATCGACAGGACAGGCCTCTTGGCAAAAGCCACAGTAAATGCACTTGGTCATGTCAATATCGTAACGGGTAGTTCGTCGACTTCCATCAGCACGCTCCTCCGCTTCAATGGTGATGGCCTGTGCTGGACAGATGGCTTCGCACAGCTTACAGGCAATACATCGTTCTTCACCGGACGGGTATCGTCTCAGAGCATGTTCACCACGGAACCGTGGACTAAGAGGTCCTTTCTCGAAGGGATAGTTGATGGTCGCAGGCTCCTTGAAGAACTGTCCGAGCACAACTCCCATACCACTGATAATTTCAGAGTACATAAAGCCGCTGATAGTTCGATCAACGACCATTTTAGTCGTCTCTTCGATATCCGCATCTGGATTCACATTGAAGTACTGACCACCGCCTTTGGAGAGAAACGGCGAGATGCTGATTGACCTCGTGGTCGCCGGCGCAGACCAAGTCTTTGCGTAACACTGCTTGACGGGCAGGCGCGCTAAAAAGAAGATGCAAATTAGATCTCTCTTTCAGTGATGCAGCTGATAAACTACAAATACTTACTGATGAATTGGCGAAGTGCCATTTTGAATTCACAGTCGGTTTCCCCAAGTGAACCCCAAACCAAAACAGTGACCCAACAAATGTTTCTGTTGTGGTTTGCCCTTTGCGTTGTCAGCAGCTGCTGGGAAGCAGAACTTTTTGGTGCACACCGAAAACATTCCGGGAAGTTTCTCACAAGCAAACTCTGCGACATTTTTTAGAGTTTTGAAGTGCAAGTTTTGCACAGTGCTTCACAGTGCTGCCCCCTGTAAAACCGTGAAAGCAAACTCTGTCCAACTTTGTCGCTCAAAAACAAAAAAAAACTGTATTTTTTTGAAGTCAACAAACATCGGTTCTGAATTTTCAAACATCTTTACAAAGGTAAAGTTTTGTCCATTTTGGTATTATTAATAACTTTTATCTTTATAGTTTATTGGAAGTATACTGGAAAAGGAACAACACAAGCCACACAATGAATGAAAATGTAGTTACAATGAAGATGGAAAAAGTTATCGGTTATCATAAGACTTTTACAAATGGAAAGCTTTTTAGTTGGCCACTAGAGAAACGGAAAGGATAGGGTTTATCAAGGCTATTTGTCGTGTATGATTTCTGTTGTAGATGTGACGACAACTGTCGCTAAGTCAGTTTCAGAGAATGTCTGTGGTTCCATTGTTTGCGCACTATCTGAAGCATTGCCCTCGCCCACAATGGAACTGTCGGAGTCTGAAACTTTGTTCGCATTGAGTTGACTGGCAGCTTGGGATCGTCCTTGTGCAAAGAGCTGCCTTCGGCGGGCCCGCTTTTGCTTCACCGAATGTTGATTGGCTGTGGCCGCCTTAAGAATGCGAGGATTGTTGAAGATGCTTCGGTTATTCTTGAATCGAGCACTAAATGTAAGAGGAAAAATGTTAATATGGGCGCTAGTCAAAATCTCGCGGCAAAAATCTCGAAATTCAAAAATCTTGCGTGTACGAAATCTCGAGATCGTTATTTAGATAAGTAAGTAAATTACGAGATTTTTGTTTTCGAGATTTTTGAAGCGAGATTTTGACCCCTCTCCGAAAAACGTCAAGACTGCGGTTTTTATATTGTGGCACTTAAAAAATTACCGGCTGAGCAATTGCATTCCCGCACACATTCCGATAAACATGATTCCGAGAACGATCATAACGGGCAACATTCTCATGCTCTTCTCTGAAGCACTTCGCTTGTCTTTTTTTGTTTCCTGTTCTAATTGTCCGTAATCTGTTCCGTTGACAGACTTAATTTCACATTTTCCTGTTGGAAATAGAAGCAAATGTTAAAAATGCAAGATTACAATGGAGTTTTTACCTTCCACGCAGTGCACAGTAGTTTCATTGAAGTGTCCAATTTGGATGCATTCATGATCATGTGTGCACTTTGCCTCGATGTCCAGCTCCTTGCCCAAAGAAGATTCTGCTTCGTGAACATCTACAGAAAAAGTTGATTTTTGTTTTAATATTTGTTATGGTAAAAGACATGTTAAGTGTTGACCTAGACGTTTTCTTTTAATTATCCCTAGCCTAGTCAATGGGCCAGCACTGTTTACTGTTAATTCAAATTGACTTATCTTGTGGAGGCCTGTATTCATGGTCCTGAAATTACGTGCAGCAGGTCAGGGCAACTATACCAGCGGAATGTGAGGAGATTATCATCTGCGCTTTATTCTTTACCTGAGGTTCTCCTGATAACTGCCACTGAGTCTGCCCCATCTGCAATTGATGTGGGACGTGATTTGCATACGACCACTGTTTACATTGATTCCCGCGGATAGATGGCAATCAGGCAAATGGCACTTTTGCTGTGCAACCACTGGCCAATGTACTTTGGGAACAGTTAAGCAATGAAGAACAGTGGATTGCTTGCTGAAATATTCATTGACCAGGGGCAAAGACAGTGCTGTCTGTTGCAGTTGCATTGTTTCAGTGTTAAATGGATTACATTGCAGTGGGGTCCATCATTGGGGCTTATAAGCATTTCCCTGCCTTTCTTTGTGCCTTTCAGATTAGCGGTCTTCAAATAGCAAATCTCTTAAAACAGAGTAAACAGAGTAGCCTGCCACCAGTCGATAGATGGGCTTTGCAGCTACGACTCATTGTAGATCAATAAAATTAGTAAAGTGGAAGAGAACGTCTCGCTTCAGTGACGTTCTGCAGAACTGTGAACTTGGTAACCAGATCAGCTCGATCAGACTGATGTATTATTTATGTTCACTTACAAGTTACTCACTGCAAACCAGTTCTCGCACGCTTTTCATTCAGAGAAGAGGTCCATTCACTGTACAATCATGTTCGACTGGAAAATAAGTGGCCTCGAGTAGCTCTGCAGTTGTCCGACTCGCTCACCAGTCGCTGTCAGTTCTCTTTCTCTGAGTGCTGACAAGTGACACTTGATTGCGACAAGTGCTCACTGCTCTGCTAAGTTCCTCCAATTTATCTCAATGCAGAGAATATTCCAACTGACCACTGTGCTATTGTTGGCACAATAAACTCAATTTAAAAAATGGATAGTTTTGAGGTTTTCTATAGACAGTTGCTGAAAGGTAGCACTACAGATGTCAGAAATGTATGGACGCCTTCCATTAACTTGTAGTGTTGGCTACATTGTCCAGATTCTATGTTATGAGCGGTTCTGGTTTAGCACGGTAATGAAAAGTAATTTAACTCTAAAACAAGTGCATGCACTGTGAGAGGTGTCGAGTTTCATTAAAATTGAGTGCATTTGGAAATAAAGAAAAACGAACTAGGGTGTTAAAAACAGCAGACTAACCTCGTTTGCGGTGTTCTATTTGGTGGCCAATTAGTGTGGACATTGAAGGTTTGAAGTTGCTGGCTATCTGCTGTTCAGTTTCAGGAACAAGTCGTCCGCTTGACGGTATTGTCGCATTTGGCTTTAGTTGAAGTGCAAGGGTTGTGCTGTTGGCAATTGTTTTGTTCACCGATCGGCTTCTGGGAGTAACAGCAGCAGCAGAAGTGGTTAGTCGTTGATCAATTATCGTCAGGAGAAGAATGGAGAGTAAGCACAGTAATCTACTGCGCCACTTGCTGTCCATTTGTGCAACTTGAAAAAGTGGCGAAAGGATGAAAAGTTGAGCATTCTTTTGCAGCAGTAGAAAGTGCATGTTTATTTTCTGTTTGTAAAAAATAGCAGTCGAAGTGGTTTATATTAGATAAAAGGACACTGAATCTGGTTCAATTGCTGTTAAAGCAGTGCCGTTCATGTGGTAATTACCGATGTGCGAGCATTTGGCTTGTGCTCCCTTACTGCGACCTGTCCGGTTGTTGACTACAACAGCTTTTTGGTATTTACGCCGCAAAGGATTTCCAGACCTGCAATGGCAGAGGTGCAATGGCAACCAAGAAAAAGCGGTTGCAATCCATCAAGACTCAATGTGGCAGGGACACTGACCACAAAATGGTTGCGCCGACTAATGAATTAGTTAGTCTACTTGGCCAGAGTACCCCATCATTAGTGATTCAATCGGTGGGGCGGTGAATCACGAACTAGATTACGGGCAGGGTGACAGAAGGCACAGGTCGGTGGCACCAGAGCTAATACCCAGTCACTTGAATAGGTACTTTCTGACAACCATGTTGTCCTGGTCTCATTTCAAAATTGGCGAAAGAGGTAAAGAGAGTTTTGACTTACTACAAAATCGATGTTTCAGCTTTTTGAAAAGTTTGTCGGAAGAGTTGACCGAGTAGCACAAAACAGGCCCAGTGAGGCGGACTGCAGTCAGAAGAATGGTGCACTGTATTCTCCAGTGTTCGCCAGTGCTGTGATGAATTGACCAGAAAGTGCTGTCTTGAATGGGTTATGCTGGCAAATGTCACTGGTGCTGCTCAGTGACAGTGATCATCGCCGAATGTGCCACTTAATTCATCAGAGCAAACTGGTTGGCTGCTGCTGGTTCTAGTGCTGCAGTGTTATGCCGATGCCTGACTTGCAGTGCAGCAGCCCAGCAGACTGGGAGCGACCCACCAGTAGTCAAATGCGATGGTCTGTTCGATGTTTCACCACGTGGTATATAGAAGCAGGCGACCAGTGGAAGTGGTGAGGACAAATGTCTTAACTGTCTGTCTGTCTGCGGGTGCTGGTGCTGGTTCTGGTGGCGGCTGGTGGAAGGCCGCTTCAAGCAGCCCGCAAACCCGATGACAGTTCCTCTTTTCTCTTCTCCATTCTCAGCATGCATGCAGTTTCTACTGTCCACTTCAGACTGAGTGTTCTGCTTCAGCATTTCTTAAATAAATGATCCCCAGTGCCAATGAGCAAAATCTTCTGTGTGTAAAGTGCCTGAACCTCTGTACAGCAGCAGCAGTCTGGCCGAGACGTGAAGTTGGTACAATCCTTCCAGTGTGACTTTCGATCGCCTGCATAGAGCAAAACAGTCGTGCCCGAAGTCGCAATAAGAGGCGTCCAAGCAGAGAGCGTAGGGCGTGGATCAACAAAACGACGGCAATTGAGAGACAGCGAGGCAGACAATCAGAGAAACAGACAGACAGTCAGACAAAAACCAACTGAAAGAAGCATTACCAGTCGCGCTCTTCACAGATTCATAATTTAATGACCACATTAACGTCATACAAATAGATGGCAAGTGAAACAGACACAACTGGAGCAAACGAACACTGCTGACCAAGTGATTGATAATTCGTTCCTTTTGGTTGTTGGTAACACTATTAGCCAGACATGTGTCGCCTAATGGTCGCGATTTGACAATGGCCCACAAAGGCTGACACCTAAATTTGTAGTTAACCAAGTGTGCTAGCTAAGACGACAATCTTTTGAATGCTCTTGAGCTTGTGCAATCTAGTTAGTGTCCATTGACAAAAACAAAAAAGATCAAGCTAATTTACTGAGGTTATATTTGTCTATAAATAGCACAACATACTAAACTTGAACTTGAACTTTACGGTCCCTAGAAGTTTTTTGCAGCACAGATTTAGGCGTGTCGAGTTTTATCATTTGTTAAACTTGAAGAAAAACTGATTTTAATAGATTGAAAAGTTTAATTATCTCTTAACGAAGCTTCTACGTGTATATTTTTTCTTGGATTGTGTGCAAATAAACGCAAACCAGAAAATAGAGAACAAGAAGACTATGATAATGAAAACAACAAGAACGATTGTCCAGGATGTTTCAGGAAATGTTAAAGTTGAATAGTGGTTTTGAGCCTTGAGATAGATTTCAGTGGGCAGAGTTTGAAGAGATTCTAGATATTGAACACGGGCAAGAGAAGGAGGATAGAAGTATACATTTGCGAGAGTGAAGCCAGTGAATAGGCCTAAGAAAGCTAATGAAACCCGTACAAACAGAGCTTTTCCTGGTGTAGTGTATGTAGTTAAGAGATCTAAAAAATTATTAAATTAGAAAAAAACTTTTTTACATTCACAGAAATTGTTTACCTTTCNGACTATGATAATGAAAACAACAAGAACGATTGTCCAGGATGTTTCAGGAAATGTTAAAGTTGAATAGTGGTTTTGAGCCTTGAGATAGATTTCAGTGGGCAGAGTTTGAAGAGATTCTAGATATTGAACACGGGCAAGAGAAGGAGGATAGAAGTATACATTTGCGAGAGTGAAGCCAGTGAATAGGCCTAAGAAAGCTAATGAAACCCGTACAAACAGAGCTTTTCCTGGTGTAGTGTATGTAGTTAAGAGATCTAAAAAATTATTAAATTAGAAAAAAACTTTTTTACATTCACAGAAATTGTTTACCTTTCCACCAATCATGTTTTGTCTTCTTAATCAAATCGTTAACTCGTTTGCGCTTTTGTTCAGTTTTGGCAAGTTGTTGTTCATTTTTTGTCAATGTTTCAAGTAAAGACCGTGTGAGGCGAGACTTGTTGGAAAGTATTGAGCTACGATAGTTTGAATCAATGACTTGAGCAATGACACAAGCTAAAAGGATGCTTGAGAAGGCTATGAGGGGAATCGAAGGCATGATTTGGAATGAACAATTGGAACAAAGGTTTTTTGGATAAAAACAAAATGAAATTTTCAACAATTTACTACAGAAAATTCTATTTAAAGTTTTAGAAAGTTTTATTTATGCATTCATCAGAAATATTTTGTTCATTGCTCGTCTTGACATTTCACCAGACTTATCGCGAATGTCTTCCAGCCTCCATGCTGCTGTAGAAGCCTCAAATACCACTGCAACAACTCCCAACTTAACGGACATTCAAAATAATCATTCTTTTGATGACAAGTTCTATGAATCACTTAGTTCGCCCTTGAAGATTGCAATCTTTTCTTTGGCAATTGGCGCCTTCTTGCTGTTGATTGGGCTAGGGCGAATCATGTCTTCTGAATCAAGGTATCTGCTGAATATGAGTCGGAAATTGGCCTCAGAGAGAGTAAACAAATATGAAGAGGACAAAACCCATACTGAAAACAAGACAAGTAAGCTGAAGAGTACAACAGGCA